TGTTGGCTCCAGCCCCGGAGCTCGCTCCAGTGAGGGCTTCTGCTCCCGAGTATAGCCCACGGAGGGCTCCTGTTCCCAAGTATAGCCCAGGGAGGGCTCCTGTTCCCCAGTTAAGCCCAGGGAGGGCTCCGGAGCCGCAGTTAAGCCCAGGAAGGGCTCCGGATCCCCAGTTAAGAAGGTAGTTCAGCTGTGTTCTATTAATTACCCTTGTATTTAAGTTCCTGCCTGTTCAGTTTCCCTTTTGTCTGGTCTACTCGTTACGTGGATGTGTTTCCTGCTGTCTCCAGTGTTGATGTACCCTGTGTTCCCTGGATTAAAGACTGTTTTCGTATATATTACTCGTCTCCTCGCTGCTTAGTTCCTGTTATCCTCATGTGTGTGTTGTGACAATTGTAATGCAAAAATGTAATGTTTTATTTAAACTAGAACTGAACTAATTATATTTGTTGTATTAAATGTGTTTTATGCTAAAAAAATGTAAATATAATTGTAAAACATAAAATTTAAGAAAAATGCATTTAATAAAAAATTATTTTCTTAATGTAAAACAGTAAGATTCAATGAGAATCTACTGAGGATTGCCATTGACTGTAATGGAAAACAACAACAAAAATTTTAATTTTTAAATAAGTATTTGGAAGTATTTGAGAATTTGGAAGAACTCCGAATATCATAAAAACTAATTCACAATGTAAACAAACTTTCCTAAAAGCTTGTGGAGCTTGTGCCCCATAGCGAGAGGTCGGTGAAGAGGTCGTTTGCTAGAATTTGAAGTGTTGGTTCTTTCCCCCGAGGCCTGAGGGCAGGTCAGCTCTCCCTAGTGCAAGGTCATGTCAGGCCAAACATGCGCTGGTCAGTTAGGGACCACATTTCTATGGACAATTCAAAACAAAATGAGGAAATTTGAAAGGTGTTTAGGAAACCTTTACAACATTATTACAGCAATATATATTTTTTTCTGTAAAGCTGCTTTGAAGGAATGTGCATAGTGGAAAGCCCTACAGTATATAAAGAAAATTAACTTAACTACACTCTGAATACAGACAGCTTCAGAAAGTTGAGTTTTATAGACATAGTAGTGGGTTTTAAACTTACTGTTATTTGAATTTGTCTCCTGAATGTAAATGCATGTTGTTCAATCCCAACGGACTGAATGGGGCTCACCTACATTATGTGCATACATGCAAGTTTACCCTCATGCACTAGCATGTCATACAAAGGAACTATTGTCATGCACACCCATGCCAACACATCCGCTCGATAGAGGTGTTTACATGAGTCACATATATTCAGGTGGTACGCTCTTTACCTTGGCATTGAGACCGTGATCCCGAACCATAGAGGGCATTCATGTTGTAGGGCCCTATGAAATATAATTTCCATCTTTAAAATGTCATTTATTTTCTATTTTGTCTTTCAACAGATCACTCAGAAATCTGTTACCAAGGAAAAGCTGCGTCTTGCTTTCGTAGAGACAGCTTTACGTATTTATTGCGTGGAAGCTCTGTTCCCAAATTGGAAAGCTGTCAGCACGCTGGGTTTCCCACAAACGTAATCTCTTGTGGAAAAGTTATCTCCGTTTCACAGAAAACAGACCGTTCTGCATTGTGCCTTTAGACGTCAGCTGAGGTGGTCATTGTTCATGTCAAATTCTAGCTTCCTCCAGAATTCCTCGTCTCTTCAGTTGACGAGGAGCTTTCCGCCCACGCCTGCAACTACGCCACAGCCTTAGGCAGGTCTTTGCAGGGCTCCAACACGAAGGCTCTCGGGCCCACAACGTGATCTGTGATTTTAACACCACATCTGGTTTTCAAGCCAAGCTAAACTAATTGGACGGCTTCAATTAGGAGTTCCTGAGCACTGTTTGCTGAACATCATGTCCTTGCACAGTATTCAGAGTCAGCTAATCTGGAGCGAGTCCCTGTACACTTTGGTCGGCTTCAGGCCCTCTGCCTTCTCACAGCGGGTGGACGCAGAAAGAGCTGGCGACGTAGCAAATTACCACTCCAAATGTACACAACAAAGCGTCTGCCTTGCAGAATATCTTGCCCTGACGCAAAAAGTCAAAAGCCCATGTCTGGAAATCTGCAGTACAGTGCAAATCGGCATGGGTCCCTTTCCTCTCGCCAACAAAAACAACAATTACAAGCAACTCAGACGGCCCAGCTATGAAACAGGGCCTTGTTGCTGAGAAAAGCTAGCAATTAGGGGGCATTGTTCAGCAAAGGAAAGCAGCTTTTATTTTTTTAGTTAGTTTGCCATGCCCCAAAGGTCTGCATGTCCAGAATGCAACTTCTTATTGATATTCACTGATGCTATATCGAGGTCAAAAGCAGGATAGGAGCGTTAATTTCACCGCTCTGTTGGATTCCATCCCCATTTCCCCCCTCCTGACATCTGGCTTTGCCTGGGAAGCTGGAAAACGTCTTTAATATTCTCATGACAGTCAAGACGACATATGGAAAACATTGTAATACCTTAATCTGCAATGCTTCTAAAGAGAGACAGAGAGCGAGCGAAAGAGAGAGAGAGAGAGAGAGAGAGAGAGAGAGAGGACGGCAGATAGATGCTTGGCTTTCTAATTTGTAGGTTTCAGAAGTTCTTCTGGGTAGCCAGACGGCATATGAGACCAGAGACTCTTCGATATACATCACTCGCTTATTTTCCACACCTGCCAATTGCTAGTAAGTTAGAACTCCTGCAGGGAATATGCTGTCTACTGATTTAAAGTGGTAATTCAGCCCAAAATGTAGATTCTGTCATTTACACACCCTCACGTTGTTTCAAACCCATTTTTTTTCTTACTTGGAACACAAAGGGTGAATATTTGAAGAATGTCCTAGCCATGTCCTAGAATATCCATATGACTTCTGCAGTATATTATAAATCCTCTGAAGCCATATGATAGCTTTTATTTGGGGGGTGGTTATTTTTTATTGTATTTTTGTAAATTGCTCTTTGAACTCAAAGAGTTGTTTGTCATATTGTGTGAACTGTTCACTGTGGGTCCGCATTTTGGTTAATTTAAAGCATGCATTGTAAACACAAAGTGATCCAGGTTAACTTTATTTCCAAGCCCAGGCTCAATGAAAAAGCATGCCTGTGGCAACATTTCTGCAAAATGATATTACGCTATTTTTTTTTTTAAATTTATTTTGAGACATTTTTAAAGTGTAATGCCCAGTGAGTGGCACTAATAGCACATTTAGTTTTCTCTGAAATAGATGAATGTGTCAATGTTTAATATGCTGGTTATTGTAACAGTTTGCAAATTAAATAATGTAATTAATATTAATTTAAATAATATGGTGAGTGACACAGTAAAACTGTACGTTTTTGGTTGAGGCATGTTTTTCCAAAGAGCCAGTGTTGTTATTTCCACATTCACATTATTGCAAATAATTCCAAATAATTGAAACAGTTTAAAATTTAAATATGCCTGTTATCGTAGAAATATCACAACACTTTTTCTTGACTAGAAAAAGTGCAGCATTCAAAAGTTGTTAGTTTGCCATTGCCTTAGTCTTGTAATGTAACATAACACTAACTGTGCTCAAATATACTTCTACTACTACTAATAATAATAATAATAAAAACAACAACACTGAAAGAGTAAATAGACAATGGAGTCCCTGTCACAGCTCAAAGTGAACCCCAATGCGATTTGAGCCTACTTTTAGGTCCTGAGTTTGGTTCTTTCAAGGAGAACATCTCTATGTATTGTAACTCATCTTTCATAAACTCAGCGAATCATATCAGCAGCTTGACAGAGTTTGTTGAAGTCCATTCGAGTTTGGTAACAGGCCTACGTCTAATCCTTTGCTAAGCAACATCTTCTGGGTGCTTGGTTTAGCGCTCCAACAAAAGCGCAGACATGCAAGACTGGCCCAAAACGCGTCATTAATTCTCATATGGAGGCCAGACACGTGTGGTCCACTGTAAAAAATGCCTTTTTCCACACCCTCTTAAAAAAATCTACAATTACTCTTATTATGAACATTGTGCAATCCAACCTGCCATATTAATCACATATTAAGGAAAACATGAGGGTAAATCAGGAGATTTATTTTAATGTATTGTAACTCATCTTTCATAAACTCAGCGAATCATATCAGCAGCTTGACAGAGTTTGTTGAAGTCCATTCGAGTTTGGTAACAGGCCTACGTCTAATCCTTTGCTAAGCAACATCTTCTGGGTGCTTGGTTTAGCGCTCCAACAAAAGCGCAGACATGCAAGACTGGCCCAAAACGCGTCATTAATTCTCATATGGAGGCCAGACACGTGTGGTCCACTGTAAAAAATGCCTTTTTTCCACACCCTCTTAAAAAAATCTACAATTACTCTTATTATGAACATTGTGCAATCCAACCTGCCGCTGTGCGAGCTCATAGAGACAGTAGGCGCATTTACAGGTGATTATTTTTTCATATGTGAGCTGTATTTATTCAGGACCACTGAAGACTGAGGCATTGTACTCAAGGTTAAACCATAGTGCCTCTGCGTGATTAACATTGAATTATTATGTCGCCTTGGGTTCAAACGGTTCTACTGTTTGCCAAAACCAAGTATCTTTCACATTAGGAAATCTGGTTTTGCAAAAGGGAGTGCAGTCCCACTAGAGGTCATTACGATTGTTATTTCCCATTTTGCGTTATCCCTTGCTCACATGAAACCTTGAAAGAACACATTTAATACATTAAAATAAATCTCCTGATTTACCCTCATGTTTTCCTTAATATGTAATTAATATCCAGAGTAGAATTGCTGTAGCATCATATCCGGCTTCAAATAAAGCCTGGTTAAATGGGACTTCAAATGCAAGTCCAACCGAAGGTAGAGATGCTCCATAGCGTACCAGATGTTCCGTCTATGCCAGTCTTCTGGAAAAAGAGTAACATGTGAATACCTTGGGATAATGAACGCCATTGTTCTAAGGGTTTAACACCCCCTAGGTGTCGTAGGTTGGTTCTAACCGGCCTTTTTCATTTGTGTTTGGCAGATGGGGGTTTCTGTGGTCGACTCCTCGGTTGCAGGCCTCGGAGGATGCCCGTATGCCAAGGGAGCGTCTGGCAATGTTTCTACTGAGGATGTTTTATATATGCTACATGGCCTTGGAATTGAAACCGTAAGTCTCGGTTTTCTAAATTAATCACTGAGAATGTCACATTAATAAGCAATGACACTTTTGGGCACTTAAGTTACTCGAAAAATGTCTGAATGCCATTAGATGCAGAAAATCAAATGGCATCTGCAGTTAAATGCTGCACAAAGTGTTCTCAGAACTTTTTTTTTTTTTGCAGTGGTCATTTTTTGTGGATATATGATTTTTTTTTTTTTTTTTGGGTCACACTGTTAAAAAATGTACTGGTCATTTTCTGCCAGGACATTAACCATTAATTTTATAGACGTGTCCATTCATTCTAAAACACAACGCAGTGCAAAAATGAAAAAGACAGATGAAAACACCTTTAAAAAATAAATGCAAAGAAATCTTGTATTAATACAGTACATTGTTCCCTATTTTCACAGATCTGTTTCAGAGTGCAGATCCCCTCACATGGGAATTCAGCATGCTAATAACATTTCTACAATCTGAATGCATCTTAATACTTTCTGTCTTCATTTTTGGGCAGTACGCCTACTGTATCATTTCAATTCTGGCTATCTCTTTGTGAAACATTTTGGACAAAAAATGTGTTTAAAATAAATGCCACTTTCTCAGTTATTTTGTTACATCATGCTAAGACATGCACACATTTTTATGTTTGACTTTTGCATCCAAATACTTTCTGAGGCCAGTGTATATGTTTATGCACACACTTTGACTACACTCCCAGTCTTTCCCGTTGTTGAATAAAATGTGGAAAACTGTTTTTGTCATAGTATATACAGTACACAACATTTACATGGGTGTGTGAGAGGGTGTCTGGAGGGTATTATTTGGGTAAAAATGTGCATACCAGTCCTGATATACCTGATATTCTGGTGGCAGCACGTTTGCAGTAATTATGTTCTACAGTTTCTCACACTTGTTTTTTTAATCCACACCCTTTAACTGCCTCCTCTTCTTAATCCTCACACAGATAACATCTCAGGCTTCCAGTTTCTTTTGCTACTGCGCCCCCTGGTGTCTGTTGTGACTGGTAACTGTTGGTGGTGTTTGTGTTTGTGATGCAGGGGGTGGACATGTTGAAAGTGATGGAAGCGGGAGAATTCATCTGCCAAGCCTTAAATCGAACAACTAACTCCAAGGTCAGCCAAGCTACTAAAAACATCCAGCCTCTTCATTCTAAGTGAAAATACATACAATGTGATCCAAAAGTCTAAAACCACATTCATGCGCTGTAAACCTGCTTTCAGACTTTTGGACTCTGCTAAATGCTTTTACTTTGATTGCCATTTTAAGAGCTGCTGATGCAGTATTTAATTAATAATATCTAAAATATACTATATTGTGCCTATAACAGGAAACATGTGCATTTTACGCCAAAGAAATGAGCCCATGCCTTTTGTAATTTCTGTCAAACAGAAAACACTAAAAATAGAAAATGTGACTTGACATGAGGCTGATGACCCCCCTATCTATGAGAGTATTTTTTTCCCCTCACTGATTCATATATCCTGCTTAAAATAGTTACGATCAGACTGCAGAGAGCGCAGTGGCAGAGTTCACAGCAGGTTCAGAGCACTATGTGCTTATTATCTTTCCTATCATAAACTGTCATTTCAACAGTATTAACAATAAATCTACAAGACGCAAGTATTCAGTACAAACATTTGTTAAAATGAATAACTGAAATAAAGAATCCTTTCACCAAGTAATGTAGCCTGATTGAATGCATGCTGTTTTAAGTCACATTAATATAGTCTGTGCATATGTGGACACACTTTATTTTAAGGTCAAATTTTCACTATTAACTAACTATTAACTACAACTTTTGCCTCCTAACAAAGTCCTAATTGCTGCTTATTAATTGTAAGGGGTAGGATTGAGGGATCTAAAATATGCAGAATAAGGCATTTATATTGCTTTGTATATAAAGATAAAAATCTATATATATATGTAGGGGTCAAATCATTTATGCATTAACAATGTTTGATGTAAAATCTAAGAAGATTATTCTTATTGCTGTACCTTAGTGTCTTTGCACTAAATCGCTTATTCCTGTCTTTGTACTAACATCACATATCTTTACCAATACACTTCATGTAGTTGCCTATATACTGGACATGTTTGGAAGCTATCATTTCTGGTTATTAAAGGTTTTCAGTTTATATGTAGTAAGATCAATAAAAACACTTTTTGGAATTTTGTGAATTTTTTAAAAGCATTCATGCTTCAAGCTACGTTTGGCACTGATAGCTTCTAGTGTGCGTCTTTATATTTCTTTTGATCTAGTTTAAATATAGGTGGGATGTGCTGTGCGTAAACACATTTCACTTTATCTCTCGTGGTCTGGTTTATTTACCCTTCTCTCCAAGTGCTCTAATTGTTTTGGGAGAGTGTTAAAGCAGCACTCTGTTTGCCTGTATTACCTGTATTTGCGAAGGTAATAGATATTCAGGCCTTTTCACTCTCAAGCGAAAGAAAACAGATGGACGCAGCTGTTTATTACAGCACACTGCCATGACCTTGATCCCCAGGTGATTTAACAAGTGAAGGCAAGGCCAAGCCTATCATAGAAAACCCAACATTACATTGACATAGCAAAATGATGTGTAAATTTCATTTATTTTCTGCCCTATTCCATTGTTCTCCTTGTCTTTTTGTGTTTTACACCTGTCCTCTTTTTCTCTCTCAATTTCTTCCCCTCTGTGGCTGTGTATTTCAAGCATTTACAATCAAAACCAAGGCTACATTCATGAGTTTGTGTGCCCATATAATCTTAGCATTCGTGGTAAACAGATTTGGCTTGATGTCTGCAATGGAGGGCTCAGAGAGACTATTCTACTCGAGCTCCGATAGCCCCCCATAGACAGAAAGATAAATAAATAAATATGCATAAAAAGGGGGAGTTGGGGAGGAGGAGGGATGCCGAAAGAACAGAAGTGGTAAGAGACTGTTTTTATACTTGTATATTAATTGGAAGATTAGATGGGCGTACTCCTCCCGAAATTACGTTAATAACTTCACTTATTAACCCCTGCAGGGCTGTTTAGTTTTACTTGAAGCATAAATATGCACTGATGAGCCAAAACACTGTGACCGGTCACAGGTGAAGCGAATATTGTTGACCATCTCCTAACAAGGCCACATATTAATATCTGGGAAGATTAGACGGTAAGCAAACAATCAGTTCTCGTAATCAGTGTGTTGGATGCAGGAGAAACGAGCAGGAATAAAGATCTGAGCGACTTTGACAATGGTCAAATTGCTATGGCAAGGCAACTGGTCAAAGTATGTCTGAAGATGCAAGGCTTGTGGGTTTCTCCCGGCCAGCAGTGGGGAGAATTTACCAACAGTTGTCTGAGGAGGGAAAAACCACAAACCGGCGACAGGGTTTCGGCAGCCAAGACTCATCGATGCACAAGGACAACGAAGGCTATCCCTTTTGCTCCGAGCCAACAGAAGGTTTACACTTTACTGTGGGCCGTGGAATATCTAGCCGGGATGAGAGGGTCTGATTGAAACGCCTACTTAGAAACTGATGTGACACTTTAGTGTGTACATGCATTTTATAAATAAGGCCCCTGAATTCAGCAATTAAGAGGTGTGCAGGAATCCATCTGTCCATTTAGTATGTGTGTGTGTGTGTGTACCTGTTTTTCTATTCTGGTGGGGACTTAAACCTGAATACACAGACTCATGGGGACTCATGTCATGGTGGGGACCTAAATTGAGGTCCCCACGGGTAAACAAGCTAATAAATCACACAGAATTAGGTTTTCTGAAAATTTTAAAATGCACACAGTTTCCTGTGAGGGGTAGGTTTAGGGGTAGGGTTGGTGTAGGGCAATAGAATATACGGTCTGTACAGTAGAAAAAACATTACGCCTATGGAGAGTCCCCACAAGGATAGCAAACCATGTGTGTGTGTGTGTGTGTGTGTGTGTGTGCGCGCGTATGCGTATATACTATACACATATATGTGTATGTGTGTGAACCTGGAGCACAAAAGCAGTCTTAAGTCGCTGGGGTATATTTGTAGCAATAGCCAAAAATACATTGTATGGGTCAAAATTATTGATTATTCTTTTATGCCAAAAATCATTAGGATATTAAGTAAAGATTATGTTCCATGAAGATATTTTGTAAATTTCCTACCATAAATATATCAAAACTTAATTTTTGATTAGTAATATGCATTGCTAAGAACTTAATTTGGACAACTTTAAAGGAGATTTTCTCAATATTTAGATTTCTTGTACCCTCAGATCCCAGATTTTCAAATAGCTGTATCTCGGCCAAATAATGTCCTATCCTCACCATACATCAATGGGAAGCTTATTTATTCAGTTTTCAGATAATTTATAAATCTCAATTTCGAAAAATTGACACTTAAGACTGGTTTTGTGGTCCAGGGTCACATATATTAGTGCTGTCAAATGATTAATCGTGATTAATCGCATCCAAAATAAAAGTTTTTGTTTATATAGTATATGTGTATACTGTGTATATTTATCATGTAAAAAAAATACAGACACATGCATATATATATATTTAAGAAAAATATGTTATGTTTATATATTAAATATATTTATATATAATGTCAAATATAAGAATATGAATATATAAATGTATAAACATGTAAATATTTTCAAAATATATACTGTATGTGTGTGTATTTATTTATACATAATAAATGTACACAGTAAATATACATATATAATGTAAACAAAAACTTTTATTTTGGATGCGATTAATCGCGATTAATCATTCGGTAGCACTAAATATATATATATATATATATATAAAGAGTAAAAAAAAACATAAACGACACACATTTTCTGTATTTTATGTTATACCACATTATTTTCTTAAAAGGTATAACCATGAATAGATACTGTAAGATTACATTTTAAGATGTATTATAACTATGGCTACAGATATGAAAAATATAATGAATTAAAAAAATTATAATAATGCAGTGTATACATAGGGCTTAAACTAAACATGTTAGCTAAGAATATCCTAATGAAATATATACAGTGTGTTGTTGTAATAAAATAATAATATGAAATCTTCAATTTGTGAAAAATGAGTGGTGTAAACATGAAAAACCATGAAAAAGTTCGTTTTCAACACTGTTAAACCCTGTGTGATAAAAGTTTAACCACGAGGGGTAGGACGACTACTTTGGTGAAATGTCTCGTTAATGTCAGTGGTGAAGTTCCTAATGATGATTTAGTGTGGTCCTGACACTGTGGTTCGGGAAACACATCATTAGACTTAAAAACATCTGGATTGAGGTGTTGAGTGTCGGTAGGAATGGGGACAGACTGATGCACCATGATGAGTATCAGATGTGCTGAAGAAGACAAGAGCATGTCCTCTTATCAGAGGGTTTCCTCATGCTGGTTATTCATCTTCCACAACGTATTAAAGACAAATGAGAGAACTGATATCAGAGACGCTGAATGTTGCTCATTAACACTTTATTTTTAGTTTATGCCCTGAAACAGAATCAGATTAGCACATTACACAAGAGTATTACTTCTCACCTATTACAAGCTTTTATTTATTTATTTATTTATTTTCCCTTTTTGCACTGAGGTCTTCAGAACAATGGCTGCCTATATGTCACATGATCAAGGAAATTTAAATTCTTCATATTTTGACACCTACCAAGTAGAAAAGCTTATGACAATAATACCAAATGACCACAATTTTGAAATAATAAGGATAATAATAATACAACCTTTGGAATGTTCTGGTCAACTATCAGTATCCATGTACAAATCATTATCTCCACTTTTCACAATCCCGTCAATACCATGAACGAATAAAATCAATTTCCACACTTTTTTCTTTTTTCCATCCAATATAAATACTATATTAGAGCATCAGTCAGAGCAAAAGCAATCCCTTCTTTTAAACCTTAATTGTGGCTTGATAGAAAGCAAAATGGTATTTATTAAATATATTTAAAATATAAAATATTTTACAAGGATATTTAAAATTCACAGTGAAAGATATACCTACAATGTGCAAAGAATCATAAATATCACTGCCACTTAACCCCTTCTCAAGCACCCCCCATTTTGGCATGGAGACATAAATGACATACGCAAAAGATCAAGTATGAGTGTAATGCTTGAAAGTGAAACAATAATAATCTGAGGCCATCAGCGATCATTGCGTCTTAACAGGTTAAATAATAACAGATGACAACATCAGGGACTTTGACTGATGGCCCTCAAAAGTTGGTTTACCAGCAGCTTGGTGTATTCTCCTAAAAGAAAAGTCATTAAATAATTATTAAAACATTAGTCACACTTTATTTTAAGGTCCAATTCTCGCTATTAACAAACCATTAACTATGACTTTTGCCTCAACAAACTCCTAATTTGCTGCTTATTGATAGTTAAAGTAAGGCAGTTGTTAAGTTTAGGTATTGGGTAGGATTAGGGATGTAGAGTATGGTCAAGCAGAATATGTGCTTTATAAGCACTAATAAACAGCCAATATGTTAATAATAGGCATGCTAATAAGCAACTAGTTAATCATGAGAATTGGTCCCTACACTAAAGTTTTGCCAAAACATCTACATAATTTGGTATGCATTACAATAATGACAACTTACCAAAGTCTGTGCAAAACCAGACTGACCACAAACAATACCACCACCATTAACGCAGAGATGTATATCAGTATGTAAAACAGTTGATCTGGTGTAAACAAAGACAACACATTAGTAATACATCAGCAAAAATGTAATGAAAAAGGAAAAGTGCACTTAAACTGCATCAACTCACCAC